TAGACAATGGTAAGGGTGGTCACTCGGACCCTGTGTCCCTGTAAGCCAGGTATGTGATTCTGAGGGCAGTGGGGATGGAGACGTGAGTCTCCTTTGGTCTTGCCAGATATGAGCAGGTTAGTGGTGAATGATGGCTGGCCTTCAGTTGGCGGGGTTTGGCCTGAACATGTCCGAACCCTTCCTGCAAGCTTGGGCGACTCCGGTGCCATGCTTTGAACAGCGTTTGTCGAAGGCCTGGAAGCGGAATCCACTCGTCGCTCCGGACCTCGTCACGTCGTCCAAGGCCTGTGGAGCCCACTTCGTCTTGGCTGACTCCCTTCGGCACCTGGCCGAGGCGGGCGGAGAACGGCAGCAGGGCGAAGCAGGGAGGAGCGGGAGGCAGGGACGATGGTGACCCATGTATGCAACTTCAAGTGGGAAGCAGCACGGCGTAACAGGGTGCTTTCATTGCACAAGACCAGGGATTGGGCTGCTCCAAGATGTAGAAAAGAAACAGTTGCAACACAGACCTCGTGCACTGACGGAAGAAGAATGTCAGTTTGAAAAAGCTTTGGTAAAATATTTCATGACAAGCATTGCCCGTGGCTGTCAGGTTGTTCGTAGAAGGGCATACATTCTATCACAAAACCTGTGGGCAATTATTATGCGTCGAAGATTGCTGAAGAAAATTATACATATATTAGACATTATAAGTAATGATCAAGGATGTCTTTTTTGCAAGTCTGATTGTGCGTTTCTTTTGTTTAAGGCATGCCTACATGAATGAGCCAAGGACACAATTGATTCGTAATATGGTCCGCAAACCACCCGGGAACGAGTCTTTCGGGCTTGTGTCCGACCCGCCCTCGCACCAGACTCGCTATAGAGCGAAAGCGGATCCTCCACGGAGGCTCGGAAGGCCAACGACTTTATGTCGAAGGACAAAAATGCGCGGGGCAACGAGCTGGAAAAGGCCTTGGCGTTGGAAACCAGGCCGAAGGTATGCGAGCGAAGGGTGAGCGAAGGGAAGTCTTAAAGACAATTTATGCAGCACTAGCAACACACATCTCCATCAGTCACGGTAATGACAAACACCCAGCAGAAACAATTCGATCAAAGAAAGCAGGAAGCCTTGTCCAGCTCCGTCTTCTTTATATAATTACCCGTACCCCCAAACTTCATCTTCAGCTTTCGCATGGGTGGTCTGATCGAAGATCAACCAGTTGCTCTTCTGATGCCCTGTACCATGACGAACATCTGCATCCGATCAGCTTTCCACCAAACCGTGCAAAGCACTGGGTGTCAAGTCGTCAAGAACCATTATTGTAAATCCCTCGTTCTGGATGTGTGGAAAGAGTTGTTTGTGAACATTTTCTGAAGAGACTCCCTCGTGAAAAGGTTCAGCATTCAGTGAGTTGCATGTGTTCTTTTTTTGTTCAATGCTCCTATAATTGTCCCATCAAGACTTCCACGTTGACAAGCTTTTACGGGCCGTTGAGTCAAGAGAGATTGGGTGATGATCGGGTGAGGCGCTCAACGCATATTGAAGCTGCTTGCAGGTTCCGCACAGCTTCGATCTCCAAAGTGATTCCCCTACAGCATCCACAGTGCCTTGCTTGTGATGGCGGGCACTCGCAGGGTGGAGTTGCTCCTAGTGGGAAGTTGACAAGGCGAGGGTACTTCGCTGACAAGCTCCACACAGGTGCAACTTTTGGCTCGCCAGCGTCCATTGGGAATCAGAGATCAAGCCTCGAAATAACATTTGGTTGCCTCGCTTAGGGGAATTTGCTCAGAATGTTCCTGGATTTGTCAGCTCAGGCTTGCTTGAAGCGTCTTGAAGCATGATCTATGATCTCTATGATCATCCATGAGGGGCAGAGTGGTAAGAGTCATCGGAAGTCACAGTCACTATGCCAGGCTACGCCTGTTTGAACAGCTTCACACTTTGGGCCATTTAGACATGGGATGCTGTGTGCACCCATGGACCCATGTCCCATCGATGTCGTGTCGCGCGGCATCAGCATTTGTTTAATGTCCTTCAAGCCTTCGCAAAGGGCATGAACATGCATGAACCCTCTCTTCGCCTCGAAAACCACTGAAAACCTCCCTGGGATCCATGGCTTTGGCTCTGAGGATGTTGCAGCTGGCCAACAATGCCTCTTGGTTGGTGGGACAGCAGGGTCCAACGACAGGTACACATCACACCGTCGGTGGTCCAAGGCTACCACAAATCGCTCGTGAATAGCGGAATAGCGGATCTGTCACACATTCGACATCAACTGAATTCAATAGGGAAGGAGGAGCCCTTCAATGGCTTCGACCCTTCATGTGCTGGGTGTTAAATAGGTCTCGGACTTTGCTGCATTGATTTATATACTCATTTTGAAGAATGACTTTCTGCAAGACTCACATTTTTGGACATCATGGGCTGCTGTGAGGTGGCAAACTGCTACTTCTATGCGGCCAAATCTCCTGGGAACAACAAAGATGCCTGCTGGCAAGGTGAGGATCGGTGTGTGATGTTTTTGGAAATTCACTTGGCACATCTCATGAATGGATACACACCATAAGCCATAAGACCTTGGTTGTCAGCTACTTGGAGCCTGGGAGCAACAGAGTCACAAGTCACAAGGTGTGAGTAGTTGGTGGCATGACATATTGATTGGCCCTTCTGAGTTGAGTGCTGATCTCTAGTGAGGTAGGTCAAGTTTCAAGAGCAATGAATTAAATTAGGGTATATTGGCATATGGATAGAGCTTCAGTAGGTAGCCTTAGGTCTCCGCGTTGGATCAGGGGATTCCAAAGAGGTGGCATAGCTTTGGTGAAAACACATGAAGACTTTTGTACGATGAATGGATGCTGTCAAAGGATCAGCAGAGTCAGGCTGATTACAATTGTGGAGTTGGTGAAATGTGCATGTTCGCAATGTTATATAGTGGCTTTGGCTTTGGTGGCGGCCGCAGCAGCGCTTCTCGCAGGCTTCTGGAAATATAAGCACTACTACATGGATGGTCTGGAGGCCAACCATGGCAAGACATGCCAGCGTGATTTGCACTACCTCCTGAGCTTGCTCCTCGTTAAAGGTGTCGCAACAGGACAAAGATGGACAAGCTCATTGTGTCATCCATCATGAGTCACTGAGTGGTCAATTGTTGGATGTGTTCGTTTTGTCTCAATACCTGCAGATAGGACTGTGTTGACCAGCTGTCTAGCTTGGAGGTCTGAGGTCTAGCTGTCGGAGCGGTACCAAAACCACGATGTCCCATTCGTCTCATCGGTTTCGTCTCATCGTCGAAGGCCGACTCCTTCGATCCACCAGACACGCCCGCCGGACACAACCGACACGACCAGACCGAGTCGGGACTCTGTCATGGGTTTCGGGGTTTAGCAGTGAGGCTCTCCCAAACTGGAGCTGGTTTTTCAAATGGGTGCAAGCAAATAGGCCACTAGCGATCACTAGCATTCTTGTTTCCTTGGCATGATTATACTGAGGCGCCGGATGCTTTTAGCCAAGTTCAGCAGTGCCGAAGAGAGTCTACGGTGCCGGAAGACCTTCCAAGCGCTTCTTGCTTGTGATTTTGACAAACTTTTTAGTGCAGCCTTATATCTCCTTATTGGGTTGTGTTTTGGAATGTTTGGATGGCTTTCCTGGTAGGTGACAGATGTGGCTGAAGATTTGCACTTGGTCGGCGGATCCGACTCATTCTCTCTCATTCCCAGGAAGCAACTGTTGACAAGCACCTAATGTGGATTGCTAAAACCCCCAGATTGTAGGGTAGTTGAATGAATCAGTCAACATGTGGCGGTCCATTGACTGCCTCAGGCTTTGTCAGCTCCATTTCGGAGAGTCTGACCTGCCAGTGGCACTCCTGCGCTGACCAGTTTTTCGACCGGCCGTGCTGTCGAGAGACCAGCGGCCATGTACATAGGCATGTGGTCACGTTTTCTGAGTCGAACTGAATGTTCTCGGTGGCCATGGTTCAGGAGGAAGATTGGTGAATTGAAGATGGATTGGTTCTTAAATGGTTGTGTTTTCTTCTTTTGAAAGATGAACAAGACAAACACACATAGACCTGCATATGGTCTGTGCAGTGGGTAGGCCTAGCCTATGTTTGACCCAGAACCTTACAGACTGGAGGCTGGCCGCGGTGCATGGAGAAAAGAGAGGCTGACAATGTCAGCCGTCGCTTGATCCTGGCTTTTGTTTCGAACCAGGAGCAAACACTGATGTGTATGGTTCCTCCCTTTCGACCCCTCTGGGAAAGGGGTAAGATCTTTTAGCTTTTAGGGAACCTCCAACCAAGTATATAATTTGACCAACACTCTTGCGACAAGTTTTATACAACAACCATATAATATATTGTAACTTTATAACAAGATAGCCTGCTGCCGTTGGCTTGTCCCCAGCCAAGTTTTATACAACAACCATATAATATATTGTAACTTTATAACAAGATAGCCTGCTGCCGTTGGCTTCTGCGGACAATGATGATGACTGGAAATATTGAAATATTATAAAATATTGAAATAGTTGTGCAATTGTTTGAATATCGAGGCCGACTCGTCTTCCGAGGACCACGTTCTTGTGCCTTTCTCACCTGTCAAACCCGGTTCCCCTGCTCGTTTGCTGCAGGTTGAACATAGGGACTGCTGATGACAAACCGATCGTTGCTTTTTTTGAAGTCTTATACGGCGGATGGAGTGTGTTGCAATCCAAGGACACCGATTCATTGGAGCATTCTCTGCTTTTTCGGAGATGGGACACTGTCGTTGAACTTCATCGTCAGAGTCATATATCGACGCTCCCCAGAAACCAAGAAACTCCATGAAGAAAGCATGTTCGGAAGCAGCTGTTCAATCCTTTTCATTCCTTTTCAACATTCCTCAGGAAGACCCAATGGCGAACTTTTGCTTGTTTTCCTTGGAAACTGCAGCTGCTGCGAGGCTTGCGTGCAAGAGAGCTCGAAATTCAATCCCTCCCGCTCCCATTTGCTTGCAGTTTCGGGACCGGACACGCTAAGGCCAGCGTATGTGGAGGAGCTGGGACGCCTCACGGACCGCGTGGCACCCTTCCCCAAAGAGGCACCTACCTGGGTGGGATCATCGGAGTTTGATACCATGATTTAGGATGATTTAGGATTTGTTAGGTTTTAATTTGGCACGGTAGAATTGAAGAGTTCGCAAATTACTGTAAGTCAGTGTGTTGTGAGCTGAACCTACTCTTAATGGATCTTGATAGCACACAGTGCCTATGAAATCCATGTTGGTGGAACTCAAAGCTTGACAACCCCAGACCAAGAGATGACTGCATCAACCGAATTCTGTACAGCTTCCAGCTGGAAGCCATTCTCTGAGATAAATGGCGGCAAGTCAGGTGCAAAAGCTGAAAGGCTCTCGGTTGCCTTTGAGTGGTTCACCTTTCCAAAGGATTAGGTTTCATCTTTGCAACTCAGAAGCTTTGTGCACGCCGTTTCTTTTGTACTTACATCGATTCTCACACTTGGCCTGTCGCCTGTGACTGCTCTATCAGACAGTTGCCAATTCCATCCAGATAAGTTATTGAATAGTCATTGAGTCATTTGTCTCCAAGATCCCTATTTGGGTGTGGTTCAAAAACTAGACACCCTAAGACTCATAGAGCAAAGCCTGTGGTATTCCCTTCTGTCCACTTACAGAATGAGGGCTCCACAAAAACGCTGTTCAGGAAGCCGAAGCAATCCTCAAAGAGGCCCAGAAGCGGAGATTTTCGGGGCATGCTGGGCATGCAGTGAGTGTGTTAGAGGATGCTTGTGGTTTTAGGGGCAGTTGAGGGGCAGAGACTTGCAAGGATGTGCTTTGCTCATGGGTGAACACTCTTTCATGTCTTGCCTCACTCACAGGATTGGACAGAAATTCCGTGAGACCTAGTGGGACCAGATATGGAAGAGGACTACTGTAAACACTTGTTGTGGCTCATTTCTGGTCCTAGATATGAAATTTGCAGGACGGGTATGTGTATGTCACAGCTGTCCCCCCCAATCACTGGTGAGGCTTGGCCAGATCGCGCCCTGGAGGTTGGGAGTTCCAAGCGGAATCGATCTCAATCTACCAAGGATTTCTACGCCTTTGTTGCTTTGACTTTCTTTGCTTAGAGTTTGCTTTGAAAGACCTGTTTTTTTCTTGTTCCTTCCATTAGACCAAGGAGATCAATACCGGCGCTAACCTTCCGGTGACATCACCACCCCAAAGTCTTCAAAACTTATGAATCATACCGTGTGGATGATGCAATCTGGAGTCGGGTGAACATGTAGTTTGTCATGGAAATGAAGGAAAACTTGTCTTTGCTTGATTGTTCGTACCAGTAGGGCTGAAATTTTCTGAGTTTCTATGACGGGACCAACTTCTCCGCACTGAACTGTTGGATTTGTTAGCACGCTTACGGCTCAAGCGTGATCAGCCACCAGGGGCATTCCCTTGAGGCAAGGTTGTGCCATAATATTGTGTAATTATTATAGGCTCTTTCAGCCTATTTGTTTGTTGCCAGGACCTTCAGTCCACAGTTTCTATGACAGAGCTGCTTTGATGACAGGCCCTCTTCACCAATGGCGACGAAGGCTTGACTCGACTCATGCCCAGCAATGGTAAAGCAGCTGCTGAAATGAAAATGACAAGCGCTTCAAGTGGCTGTGGCCCAAACCACTGCGCCCCAAACCCAGGGATAGATAGAGACCTCCGCCACTTTGGACAGGTGTCGGGCAGCCCTGGTGCTGGTGACGAGGAGCAGAGGGGCTGTTCGTCCAGCGATTTGTTGGGCGAAGACATTGAAACACATCGAAATGCAATGAACAGATCGCAGCTAGAGGTCAAACATTAGGTGCATCAGGCAAAACATGGGCTGGCTATGGCTGGCCCATACACTCTTGTGTGAGGCGACAAACACTCACCGTTAGAACTCTTCAAAACGCAGATACCTGACTCTGAAACCAGAATGCTTCAACCCGCGATATTACACGTGTGTGCGACAGTACCTCATCGAAGCCCTGGACTAACACCAGGAACCACAACCTATTTGGTTGATTTCTGGAGGTCCCAAACACAGTCCGCCGCGATGCCTGTTGGCAAACGGAGTAGTGCGGTCGCTTTGCATTCAACGCGAGTGGAGCAGTTTGCCGAATTGTTCCTGGGCGACTTCTCAGTGTCGGAGCAGTCGGTTCCTGAAGTCTTACAACGCTTTCTATGGCCTTTCGATGCTTCTTTCAGGATTTGATAGTTTTTTCCTGATCCCAGCTCTTAGCTGAAGCATGCTGAAGCTGTACGCAACACTCCTTTTGGGCGCCAAGCCAAGCCCTTTCCGCTTCTTCCAGAGTGGGAATACAACAAAGGTTAGAAAGCGAACAGCACAAGAAACTGACACAACAAAGCATGGGAATTTGTTCAGGCAATTCCAAGCAGATTTTGTATAATCATAATTATATAGTTGCAAGCAAACAGCCCGGGTGCACTTGAAATGCAACAAGATTGATTACTGTACGCAGCGTGGAAGCACTTAAAAGATGTTTAAAGCAATTAAAGGGAGGTTTGTTTGCTATTGCAGATAGCTTAAGGCTTGGGCCAGGTGTCAAGCTATGTCTCTAGAGATTCAATGAGTGGTCGGCTTCGTTCAGGTGCTTGGTGGCGAACCGAGAAATCACCCATCCATCGGTTCCAGGCAGTGGACGCGAGCACCACGGAGTTCTGCACCTCCGTGGTGAATGAGAAGTGCCTGGCCCAAAAGGAGAATCACGAGCAAGTGATCCACGGGCGACTGAGCTGCAGATAGGGAGCTGCAGCTACTAGTTACTAGTGCTAGATAGTGCTAGTGGGTATGTTGAGGTCTTGACATGAAGTGACATGCTTGTCTTTTGTTGTTTTGTCTCATGGCACGGTGCAGGAATCCTGCCTGTGCCATGCTTCAAGCATTGAAGTTCCGAAGCTTTCCAGGTGGCCGAACAGAAGGTATTTTCATATACAATACGGATCAATGCATATCAAACACGGACCAAACACATTGATTTACATTCATTTACCAGGTCTCTGGCTGAAGTGCAGGAATTGACTTGTCAACACTTGTCAACAGGTTAATTTTGCCGGCACAGCTTGGCACACTGAGGCCTGAGATAAATCGAGAATCCAGGATCCATATCCAGATTAGGTCGCCTATACCAAGAGCGTTGCAAAAGAAGTTTGGACTTATAGATATATAGTGTCTCGCACGGACTCTTATAGGCATTTGAATGCATTGTACCCTGTGACTCGTTTCTTGGTTTCTTGGGTTGTTCATTCAGTTACTGCTCTTCAGTCCCCGTGTTCACTCTTCAGGTTTCCCTTGTAGTGTGTTTAATCATAACAAATCCCTTCGTATTCCCTGTTGAAAGACCTAGAGCTACGTATGGGGCAGCAGACATTGCGCTGCAAGCCTGGTTGACTTTCCTGAATGGTCTAGTCCAACTAGGGTCCTGAAGTGTCATGACCCATCCCAGAAGGAATTATATTGGATCTTAAAATGCGAAGCTTTTTCAGTTGCGACTTCCGCTGAACCGAGGCACTCAAAGGCGCGGAAGCACAGGGCAGTTCAGCTGTCGGGACTTGGGGCGGTTTGGGGCTTGAGGTGAACATGAAGCTTTTTGGTGCCCAAATTGTGTGGTGCGCTTGAGTTTGAATGGTGACCTCAGAGTGTGCACAGTTTCAGTCAATAATGCGGTCTCCAAAAGCTCCAACTCCTTGCGCGCAGGGAACAATTGGTATGGTTCAACACGTTTGGAGATGGAATGAACTTGAAATATGTACGTCACGTGCGTGCAAAAGTCGTCTATGTAAAATATGTAATAATTAATATGTATTAAGATGTATTACTAATAGCTTCTTGTTACTACTAGAAAGGCACTTGTTACTAGTAGCGATGCACTTGTTACTAGTAGCGATGCACTTAATTCATCTTAATTCTAATTAATCGTAATCATACTCTATTGATCAGATGCATTGGAGCTTTGTTTGCTGCATGTGCCTTGGTGTTTCATGTTGCAACGGTCTTTTTGGAGCGATTCTTTACTCTCCCTTGATACTTTGACACAACCAAATGTTTCAATTCCTGGCACTTGCATGTCAAAGCTCGTCAATCAGCCGCGCTCTACCCTCGAACGTGAATCGGCACGAAGGCCAAGGAATTTTGGGCTGACATGATCGATGATGATGAGTATGATGCAGGCAGGGGCCTCCAACCTACTAGCGATGGCCTCCAAACTAATAGCGATGGCCTCCAAGGAGCACAGAAATTTCAACACAATTTCAGAGTTAAGTCCAGTCCTTCGAAGTGTTCGGCCACTGCTTCAAGCCCAAAAGCTGAAAATTTGTGCATATGAAGCACGAGTTGGGTCGCTGTGATGTGAAGTCTTTTGGCTTCGCCGCTTTGTGGAACGGTTGCGATGTTGGCCCTGCACGCTCCAGGAACTGAAGATCTCGGAAAATGGTGGCAAGGACTTGGTCCACCATGCAAAAAGGCCTTGTGAATCTGGCATTCGTCTCCTGTTTGAGCAAGGATGAGGATTCGGCTTCCTACACACATCTTCAGCGACTGAACCACATCCAAAACTGCGAGGCACCAGCTACACAGAACCATTTGTGCTCCCTCGAATCACCAGGCCATGGGCGCTGCGGAGACCATGAAAGGCTGGCACGAAGATGGTGATCCTGCAAACACCAGATTCAGCAATGTTGATATGAACACGTTATATGCTGTTGAAGCAACCAAAGCTGTCAACAATAAGGCAACTCACACTTCAGATGGTTTGATGACATTGACTTCATATGAAGCAGACTCATGACATCACGCTGATCTGCACAATAAATGCTTTTTTTAGATCAATCAATTGCGGTTGGTTTGGCCTGAGGCGAGGAGCAAGAGGAGTCTGCAGAGGCATCGTGCTGGTTGTGCAGTCTGGCTGACAGATTTCGCCGTAGTTCCAGTTGCCCCTCTGTGAAAACGCTCGCAGGGTACGCTGAGTTCGAGCCAGGACATGGCCGAAGGCAGGACGTGCATGTGTTGGCATCACCCGCTCTTTGTGCTGCAACAATGTGGCAGAATGAGTGCAGCATGGCATGAGCCAATGACTGGGGATGGGATGTTGTCTCCATCGCACCTTGCCGTCTTGCCTTCAGGCCATGCAAGTGGACCTCAAAGGGCATGCAACTCTGACGAGGCCATGGGTTATCCGAGCCTTTGCAGAGCTTTATGTAGCTGCCATGCCAGTGCACCAGGCAGTGGATGCCAGCGTGAAGAAGCAGAGTGCAGACATCGGATTGGAGAGGCCCCAGGCCGAGGAGAACTGCGATGCGAGTTCCAGCATGTTGCTTTGCCGCAAAATGGGAGGCACCAAGCCATACCAAGCCATTTAATACTGTGGAACGTCTGTTTGAAATCATTTGAACAGACCAGCTTTTATCGTTGAAGAGCAACAGGTTCTAACATTCTAACACCTTTGTCGGTGAACACAGTCCGTTTCCAAAGTGAGTCACAAAGTGCCAGAGTCCAGAGTGCCTCATCAAGCATTGCTTCTTGGAGTTTCCTTGGTCTACTAAACGACGTTCCTCCTGACTTCATATGTTGATATTCCACCCACGGGCCTTGTCGACCTCTAAAGAACAATCGACAGCTTGATGTGCTAACTTTGAAGGATTTGGATGGTCACATGCCTCACAGCACTAAGGCTGGAAGCTCCCTCGCCGGAGATGCCTCAGGCGAGTCATGCGGTTCTTTGGGGGGACGTCTAATTGATCCACAGACGGACCCCCCAAACTACCCCAAAAAATTACAGAGGCTTTCTGGATTGAAGGATAGGATAGCTTTGAAGGGAGATGAAAAGAGCCAAATGTTCGGAAGGATTTCAGGAGTCAAGAAAGAATCTCTGAGAATGAGTACAACATCTAGTACAACTTAATAGACTCCTTGGATGGATCCATATAATAGGCTCAGAAGAATCTAAGTGTATGTGGGCTTCATGACGCGTAACCTTTGCAGGTTGATTTTGTCATCACGAGGACATGTGCTCATGGGAAAAGTTCAGCTAGTGATTCCAAAACACTGAAAATCGATAGGGACCAACCCAAAATAGCGGAAACAAAGAAGTTGCGTCCGTCACACACATAGTTGATGTAGCTGATCAACAAGGATTGATTTCATTTATAAGGATTTCCGCCGGCAGGTTTTGGATTTGTTGATCATTAAGAACCAATCGGAAACCAAAGAGGAACTCCATGAGAAATCAATGAGATGGGAGGCATCGCAAATCAGGAAGCAGAGAGCCAAAAAAGTCAGGCAACATGACATGTATGGAGATTTTCTCGTCAAGTGTTTAGATCGGTCAACATCGACAGGACTGGAGAACGTCGCAAATTGCCCGTCATTCTTCCAATACTACAGGAGTTTGACACGCCCTGGAAACGTTGGAAATTGCATCTGGCGGACACCGCGTTCTCTAAAACACAGAAATGTCGAGAATTTGAGCCCAGATTTGTTTCATTGTCTGGGACATCGCCGTTGCGGTAGCTTCCAATTTGCATCCAATGGTTGTATACGCTGGGTATGCTGCTACTGTAATGATATATAAGAAACAAATATAATATATATGTATGGTTTTTTTGTGATGTAGTGAAAGACTACCACCGAATTAGGTGATAGAATGTGACCATAGCAGATCTAGTTGGGGTTATGTTGCGCAGAGGCGAGTATTGAGCTGCCCACATATGCTGCTGATTTGGTTTCTTGGAAGCATGGAGCGCATGAAGCGGAAGCTAGATGAAGCTAGTGGTATGCCTTGCTTTTGGCCCCCTCGATCCAGCCAAAAAGAGCCTTGCACTCAGCTGTTCTGAACCCCGCAACCGCCCGGCTTGCTTTGAGGCTCCCAACGAGAAGCGCTGCCGGTGCTGGCGAGATGGAAAGCCATGCCTGGCCAGAAAGCGCCAAGGCATTGCTTGCCGGCACGCCGAGGTGGGGACGGGCCAAGCTTCGGTGGAACGTGTGCGTTTCACAGGTTGGTGACCACGTGTACTTCAGATTGTCAGGGAGTCAGTTGGTTGATTTGTTGCTTCATCTTTGACCCCTTGACACATAAGGTTAGGTAAGCCGGAGCACAGCGGTGCCTACTTGTGAAGCGTCAAGCCAGAAGCTTGCCATTCCGCCCTTCATGGCCCGGTTGCTGTTGACTTGACATGCAGACTGGCGACTGCAACCGGAAGAACTGCTCGTACTGTCGAAAGCTCAGTTCGTCATGTGTGCGCTGGTCACTCGGCAGTTCGGAGTCCAGACCTGAGGTCACAATATCCGGCGCAAGTGGAAGAGGTGACAAACTCTGATGGACTTGGATGTTTTGAGTGAACCAAGCACTTTCAGAGCACAAAGTTTGTGTCAAGGGAAACATAGGGAAACACATGGAAACACTAATTGATGTTTCGACATGTTTCGTACCAAGTGACTTGGAGCATTAATGAGCATTATGTTTTGTCAATTGAGAAAGGTGTTAGAGAATATATGGCATACATTCGATTGTGGCGTGGTCAGCCCTGCTTTTTTGTTCAGCCTTCCAGCCTCCAGGTGAAAGTTCAAGTGAGCCGAAGATGACCCAAGAGTGAAAAGGTGTTTTTTGAAGGTCGCCCAAGTCGCCATTAAGTGCCAACTTTACTGCTAGATCAGTTATTTGGTGAACTGGATTGCTTTCCCGAGGGCACAGCGGCGCATAGTATTGGGTGATCACAGCCTTCATTTTGCTCGCAATGTGGCATCTTCATGGTTCGCGACTACACCAGATCATATGACGCCCATAGATATCTCGACGTGAGTGATTATAGGTCTTTTTCGAGCGTTGAAAAAGACACGAGACGATTTTGCCGCTTGGTCCGACTGTGACTGTGACAAGGCCTGACCGAGAGGAACGGAACACGAAAAGTCCAGGTGATCCACCTTGGATCACGGCGGCGCGGGGTCGCTCTGCATCTCGGGTGGTCCTTTTTTTTTCTGGAAGAGAGTCATGTTAAGTCTTTTGTGTACACTGAACTCATCTGAACTCTACTGTTCGGTTGTGCTTGCAACACTGCTCAAAAGTACCTCCACATCGCCTTTGCCAATGTTTCATGGTTTATGCAATCAAGATTGTCTAAGTTACTCCCAATTGACTCAACTCTGTTGGGGCTTCAAGATTACCCTTATGCTTGGCCTCTCCTGAGTGGCAGATGTTGCAGGCCCTGCCGTCGCAGCCAGTAGCTGCAGCTTCTTTGGGGCAGGCAGGGGTATTCAGTGCCATTTTGTACGTTACACAAAGGGAGGTTCCTACGTAACTTTTGCCTACCTTGGCCTGGCCCTCTCACCTTCACTCCCGAGCAAACTCAGAAAACGGATCAAGTGCCTGTGAGCCAGATCAGAGGATCAGTCCCCGACGCATGGGTGTGCGCGTCCCATCAGGACAAGCCCGCCTTGTCGGGACTTGTCCTGACGTCCCATGGTCATTCATGGTCTCATGCGACGACCAAGTTAGTAAAGAGCGTGAATCTCATTGAGTTTTTGGAAGTTTGCTAGAGCCTCCCAAAGTGACCCAGCTTGAAAGCGGAACCATGTCGCCGGAGTTGTTGAATGTGTTCACGTATATGTTGACAGTGTGGTTGGAGCCCGAGAAAATCGATAGACACCCCTAAAGGCGATAGCCTTGTGAAATCATGTCCTTTGTTGAGAAGGCGTCTTGGCAGAGGCTTGTATAGAACACTGTCAACGGTCTGTGAGGTTTACTGCCTCGACCTGGAGCAACATGGCTGCGTGGCCGTGAAGGTACAGAGGCCGGGCATGGCCTTCCACCCGGCATCGCCTTGACTAGCTGGTGCTCGTAACGTGCGAGGACAAAGGTCTATAGCAGAAACAGATATACATCATGTAGACTGATTAATCAAACCACCCATACGGGGATGTAAAGCCCTTTTGGCACCGGGGGAGAGGTTATGCATCAACAGTCTACATTGTCTACATTATGGAATATATTATAGTTGCGATGATATGGGTGTTTATTGGAATAGGGAGATCCTACATGCAACATGTTCATCTCACCACGGATTCTGTGGAGGCCTGGACCACGCTCATATCGAAATTCTGGCCTCAGAATTTTCGCCTGGTTGTGTGGTGAATGAAGTCCTCGTACCGACACTTGCTTCTCGCGCGTGCTGCCCCCTCGTCGCCGCAGTAGCTTGGCTCCTGTCCAAGACAGCAGCCAAGGTGGAACACCACAGTGAACAGATGACGGCAGATAACAGCAGCCGAATGTATATACTCCACATATCTCCACATCAATTCTTCATTCAACCAGAAATGCAGGACAACATGGACAGCAAGAGTGCACCAGTTGTATCATGGCGAACAAACTGGCAGCCCATTGTGGAATAGGAATGTGGGCTTTACCCGCTGGCCTCCATAGAAGTTCATTGAAAGCTTGACTTGATTCACAGTCACTTGCAATGAACTACTGTACTGCAAAGAGCATTTTGGCTGAGCTACAGCCCTAACATGCATGCCATTGGCAGTTTTGGCGTTACAACATCTTACAACAGACAATACTACCAATATCATAAGGAGCAAGGACGCTTCCTGGCCTTAGGAACAAGAAGCTACCCCTTTCCTTGCACGCCAGAGGCGCGCCTCTCGGAGGGACGAGGGCCCATCGGACGGTCCATCCGCGCCTTATGCCTGGCCATGGAGGCACCTCGCCCGGTGACGGGGCTCATGTCCCAAACCGCCCGGCAGGTCATGCGCAAGGAGCGGGGTCCCGGGTCAAACGTACGTGGTACCGTATATGTATGTTTGTATTTGTTGGATGGGTTGAAGATAATTCCAGTGTAATTAGTTGCCGAAAGAGGCTGGACAGAACTGTCTATGGAATTCCTTCCCCAACGTGGACTTAGCAAGTTAGGTGCGTTGGTGTACTCTTCGCCTATGCAGACTTTGGTGGTAAAGCTTGGAATGCAACTGCCACAGCACAGACCAGCAGTAATGCCTCGTACGAGTCCCCCCGTTGGGCACCCCCCGTTGGGCAGTGGTTGGAACTTGTGCTCCCACCGTTGTAAGCTGTGTCCTCTTGGCGCCACATGGGGAAGCAACACCACGCTGGTAACCCACGGACGCAGGTTCTGAGAATGAAGCTCGAGTCCAACAATGGACAATAGACTCCAAGAGGCACCACACCCACAGGCAACACAACGCAACTGCTAAAAAAACACGTAAAACAGAAAATTAGAGTAAATTAAACAACCGCTGCCATCCTCTAGCAGCAAAACTGGTATGCCAGCCGTCTCCAGAATACGCTCCCAACTAGTCACTAGTCTGCATCATAATCTCGGTCATAGTATGTCATAGTGCCCTATAGGGATCTACATCAGTGTTGAAGCATGTTTGGAGTTGACCATGGGGTCACCATCTGTGTTCCGAGTCCCCAGCAGTCGCTATTCCAGGACAGCCGCCTCCCCGAGCTCCCCGCTCGGCGGACGGCCCAGGCGCCGTCGATCCGCGCTGCAGCGGGCATGGCCTTGAGCGCCTCTGAGCCGTCGCTGGGGCGAAGCGGTGCAGGCGTGAGGGCAGGGGGTCAGGGAACGAGTCCAGGGGTTTTTCTTTAGAGGAGGAGCTCCCAGTAGCGTCCTTGCTCCTACTAGTAGTACTAGTACTAGTAGTAGTAGTAGTAGTAGTAGCAGTAGTAGTAGTAGTAGTAGCGATGCCAGGAGCCCCTAGTAGCGTCCTTGCTCCTTGTCGATGGATTTTGGGAACTTTCGAGTAAGCTAAAAGTGCTGGTGTATGACTGAGATGATATTCCGCGCTGGTATAAATTGAGATGTTCATTGGAGGTAAATTTAGAGTTATATACATGCTCGGTCACATCATCGGATCATGGGAATCTGAACCGATCTATCATTTGTGGCAGATGGGATCTCTTTCGTGTTTGGTCGCGGTTGGGGATGTTTGCCAGGCTCTATACAATGTTCCAACACGGATGACTACCTAGCAGCGGGCTGTAGGAATCTTTTTCAATGCGAGACTGCCTAAAGTTTTGGAGTGAGACGGGCCGTCACTGAACAGTTTTGCAGATTTAAATCTATATATATATATATCGTATACATGTGAGTGTATTTTTAGCCCGCTCTTTCCAGGTAGGTCGACCTGTTCAGACGTGGCGTCCAGGTCGCCCCTCCACCGTGGCTCGCCGCGAGAACCGCCGCTGGGACGCGCTGGACACGCTCCGCGGCCGGACCGGGACCGGCAGCTTCGCCCTCGGGCGGCGGCGCAGCGAGGACGGGCGGAGCGGCTCCAGGAGGGACTCGGTGGAGCAAATGGCGGAGACCTTTGGGCGTGATATGCGTGGGGTCACTGACAGGCGGGATGGGCTGCCGTGGGAATGAGGGGGTGAGTGGGAGAAAGGAAGACCTGTTTTTGGGCAGACATGGCAGATGGTGAGTGGGAGTCTTTGGGCAACTGAGAGATCAACCTCACTGCTCAAGTAAGTGCTGAAGCAGGTTGTCGAGTTGTCGAATGTTGTCGATGTATTGTACACCGTAGGATCGAGTAATTCCCAGCATGGAACTGGTGTAGAGTCGTCAGGGATGATGTGACCTGACTCTGATAACACCACTTCACCATACGTATCCATAAATGGTACGCTGACTCATGCAGAATATGTTTAACATGCTTGCTATGAGGCACTTGAATGACAGCTGACATGACCTCCTCAAGGTGAAAAGGGGAAAACAGATCGACTGAGCAAGACTGAGAGGTTCGGCTCGCAGGTCAGCTGGCTGGCAGGTTCGGCTAGTTTTTTGTTCGACCAGGTATGGTATGCAGTTGCTCCAGGTTTATTCTGCGAACCATCCGAGTGTTTTGCCACGTCAGGCTGGAGGACATCGTCCGGAACCTGCGCTTTGAAGATCTCAAGTCAAAACAGGAAAAAGAGGACGTGTTCAGCTGGCTGGGCGGCCGGACGTGGGAAGCGTATTCATGCGCAGTTTAGAACTACTAAAGAAAGAAGGAGAACTCGATAGAGTGGTTTGGGACGCTATCAGGGCAAATGCTGCGTAGCTGCAGTTGCTTTGCTGGAATCCCAGTAATCCAAGTGAATGAGGTGTGCATTGACGTGTTGATAGGTGTCGATCCAATGGGTTCGGGACGGATTGGGCCATGAGCACCAGGAGCGAAAAAGGCGTGAAGAAGAGCAACAGGAGCTTGAAGAGAAACGCATCTCGGCTTTCATAGGCAGCTCATGGCAGGGCCCCAAGGTTTCATTCACCAAGACACCCGTCACCCACTGTATAATTGTTACACCAAAATGGCCTCATGAGCTTCTCATTCTCCCCTTGTCGTGCTCCTTCTTCCTCAGGCAAGGCCACTCGAAGGAAGGAGCAGGCCATTTCAGTGCCTCGGCATCCTCGGCCGCCAACGCCCCACGTAGGGCCTAGGGTACTTGATGGCGAGAGCCTACTGAACATCATGGAATCATATGAGCAAGACCAAAAGCCTCCCAAGATGAACTATACAAGTAAAGAAAGTAAAGGCCTCGGGCCCAGCTCATATGGATCATCATGAATCATCATTCATGCTACAATCACTCTGGTTGAAACATGTGGAAACCAGGAAATCTTCGGGTCAACGATGTTTCCAGACCGGCGATAGCATGCCGAAGAATGGCCGCGATTGCCCGCGATTCGCGAGGACCCCCGGAAGAAAGTGGCCATGAAGATAGAGAACTTCCGACAGAATTGCCCTGTGGACTCTCCTGATTTCCCAGGACTTTTTGGGCGAGTGGTTTGTGACATGGAGCTGCGAAACTAGAGGTAATTATATAAAAGAGAAAACTACAGAAAACTCCCACCTGCTGTCTCCAGGCGGGGTTTACTGACATGTTATATCCATACATGACTCTTACATGGTTTCACAGCCTTTTCGCCTTTTTCAACGAGCTGTCCCGGCCGAACTGTTGCTCTGTCAGGAGAGATCCCCATGTGTCCAGTCCAGGTGGAAGGACCTTTGGGCCCTGAGACCGTGACGATGGTGGACGTGGAACAACTCCGTAGCCGCTGCTTGCCACTGGGTCGTATTGAGGACCTCATGGATTTGCGGCGGAGGGAGAAGAAGCCCAAAAGGCCGGCGAACAGGACTGGACCTGGACAGTGGAGATGCCGTGAGTGGGTGAGGTAAGACTCGCAGCAGGCTTGTGATGATCAAGGCGAGCTATTGAAGCATATGTGTTTGTGAACCCACGCATGAATGGATCCATCAATTCTCGGATCGAAACAAACGAGTCTTTGGGAGTCAATTCTGGTCCCATGCGACGACGGTTCAGGGACGAGTTGCTGGCCTTCTCTCCACGCTCCACGGGTCAGAAGTCGCAGAACAGTGCCTCGTCGCCGGAACGTCCCCGGCAACTCCGGAGAGAAAAGCCATGGATGGCGCCATCTTCCTGTGACAATGTTTTTGTAGCCGCTTGTTTATGAGCTGAGCACAATATGCAACTTCAAGCCTGGCACACCCGGATAAGAAATGTTTTGCAGTGAGTCAATGCTTGAAGTCTCCCTAGCTAAAGAGAGAAGTCGTATGACATGTGGTCCTCCGGTTGGTGGTTTTACATGGTTTTACCGGGTGTAAAGAGAACTGCCGCAAGTCTAAGCATTCAGGAACTTAACATGCCGCTTGGAGCTTGCCACTACATTCAATTTTAAGACGACTAGTTTAAGTGCGTTTCTCTCTTGGAGAGCTAGCCACTTGCCGCTAGCCTGATACTGATGCATGAGTGAATCCTGCGTTCAAAGCT